TATTAAAAAACATCAATGAGAATAAGTCCTACATTATATTAAAAACTGCATAAATTAATACTGATGTAATGAATTTAATCAAAATCTTTAGAGCTGTTTTTGAGAAAATGTGTAAAATTGATTATATAAACTGGCACTTCAGTCAGCCAATTTTGATGAAAAGTTGCTGTAACATCCCAGGCTCATAAACCTTAAATATGAAATTTCAGTTGTGTACGACTCTTCGTTTTTGAGTTAGATTGTTCACATACACACTCACGCACCCACACACACAAACACACAAAAAAAAAATTGCATAATTTTTGTTGTGATATATATGAAACAAAAAAGAACTATCAAGATAGAATGAAACATTTTTCCAAATTAGGGAATAACCAAGTAAATACAGATGGCAAGAAGAAGAAATTGGAAACGTGATTTAATTTAAACCAGTACATGAGACCAATTTAATAATATAAGTTAAAAATCTGGTGGGAGCAATACACAACTTTCACTTACCTCTTAATTTCGAATAGAAATTATTTTTTGGCCATATTGCGCTATTATAAAATTTTTGAATTGTTTTTTAACTGAGCTAAAGCTAAAAAATTATAGCAAACAAATCATAAACACCATTAAAATAACAAAAGTTTTATTTATTATATCATCGGTTGATTATGGATTGTACGATCTGTTGATTATGGATTGCTTGATCTGTTGATTATGGATTGTAGGACTATTAATTATTAAACTGTTATTTTCCATTGCAAAGTTTACTAAAACGGAATTAAGAGATTTGCATTGTCTGTAATAGACAGGACAAAAGTTGTCACATTAATTGTAAGTGGATACTGTTGGAATATCACAAAAGAAAATTTCATCAAACTATTCACTAATTTAATTTTCTGGATGGTTACATGATGATTTTTTGGAATAAACGGACGATAGATACCTAAATATTTAAATATAATATCAGATCTAGAGTTATTAAACTACAGTAAATATATTTAAGGTTATAAACGTATCTATGAAATATTTTTATATTTCACTTCTTCTTTCACACAAGTACAATGAAATAGCAGTGGGTACTGTTGGAATATCACAAAGGGAAGATTTATCAAATTATTCATTAATTTAATTTTCTAAAAAGTTACATGACAATATTTCGGAATAAATGGACGTTAATACCTAATTATTTAAATATAATATCAGATCTAGAATTATTAAACTACAGTAAATGTATTTAAGGTTATAATAAACATATGCTTTATACATCCATGAAATGATTTTATATTTTACTTCATCTTTCACACAATTACAATGAAATAGTTTTTTTAAAATGTCATTGTCTTGATTAGGTGGATTTTAAATATTTTTTTCAAACTTAAAAATATTTTAAAAGATTACATTTAGTTAGTAAATTCCATTTAAACATGTGATTTACGTTAAATATTAAAAATTTAAAAAAAATATTTATAATTTTTTTTGGAACTCTCCGTTACCTTCTAAACTTTCTATATTAGATATTGGTTTTTTTTAAAATTCTTTGCTTTACAACAATATATTATACGTATACCTTCTGACTAGCATTTCTGGAGATTCAGTTTTGTGCTGGATAAGCATTTTTATTTTTTTCTCCTTTATCCCATCAGCAAAAGCCATTTCTCCTTTTTTTTTTTGTTATTGATTAATCGAAAATTTCATAATTACTGTAGTAATTGAAATTATCATTTGAAGAAGTGATATGATTCTCCTTATGTAGGTCAATACTATTATTGAAAGATTAAATTTTTTATTTTTCGCCCAATGTATTCTGGAAATATTAGGATACATCTCAAATATTTGATTTGCTATTATTTAAAAATATTTAATTCTTGAGTAATAATTATCACCGTTTATTTTTCTTTTAGCAATAACTTTTTCATTGATTTCAGTTTATTTTATTTTTAATAAAATATTTTCTTTAACATTACGTTGGAAAAAGCTTGTGCCGTTTACTGTGGGGTTTCTTTCATTAATAAGTTTTATTTTTCCACTACAATTTTTAAGCTCTATATTTAATAAAGTTGATTTTAAGAAGAAGCAAGCATCAAGCAAGCATATCTTAGGAGGGGTATGCGAAATCTTATGAGGGAGGTGGAAGGCAGCTCTAATGCACACAAAATGAACGCTACGGTAAATGGTATAGTGCAATTTCAATGCATTGCCACGTTTGATATTTGAAAATCTTTAACAATGAAACAGTATCGTAAAATATTTTGAACCGCATATGTTGGTTTTTCATCCAACTGATGGTGCGTTTTTAATAAATATGTATGGTTTCACCTCATATTTTATAATAGTAGATATATTAGCCCGCATGCATATTTAAATGCAACGTTAAGCCAATATTTCAAGGCAATGGGGGAAGAACTTTCCGAGATTTAAGAGTTTGAACGAACGAACATTGATATTTTTGCTTGCCATAAAATAATTAACACAAAGTTGAACATTAAACAATACATTAAGTATACAAAAATTACTAATAAAATTAAACATGAAAATATATGAGTGGCTTCATATCTCATAGACGGATCTCTGTCATTTTCAGAAAGCGGAGATAAAGCCAATTTTAGGTTAATTAGTTCAACTCAGACTGTTTCTGATGATTAAGAATGACGGCGTATTCACTCTGATGATTAAGAATGTTCAAGTTGAATCATGAAAAAAAATCATTAAAATTTGTTTAAATTGAAGCCATGTTATAGACAAATTTGTTTCCCAACTTCTTAAAAATGAAAGATGTCCTTTGGTATAAATCCACTCATATGTGCTTTCTATTTTCTTTCTGTTCCATTTTTCCATACTGAGCCACAGCAGTGCGTGGCCGCATAAAGCTATTAAGTATATAAAGTATGAAACTTATTAAAATAAAGGAGAATTTCTATGTGAAAACTATCCAAGTTAGTATTTCAATAAACAATGCAGGTCTAGTTTATCTTAGCACCCAAGTGTTGCTTGCTGGTCACATTCCAACCATAGCCCAGCCTAACAGGGGCCTAATAATAATGGTAAATAAATAAAAAAAGAAAAGTGAATCCTTGAATTTATTTTGAATACTTAATTATATATTATAACAAATATTTTATATACTAAATTTCTAAATATTTAAACTCATCTGTTTAATGACATCTTCAATACTTACATACTCCTTAGAAGTGCAATGGTGTTCATTTCTTCCACTTATTATTAAATCTTAATTTGAAAATTATATTTTAAATAATAAGTAATAACTACTCTATGCCTAATGAAGAATGTAAAAATAAATAAATTTTTTATTTCACTTGATCTCTGATAAACTGTACCTTCAATAAGGCTTCACTAGCATTAAGGAGTTATGCCAATAAGAAATAAATACAACTTTACAATATAAATGAAAGAAGGGATAATTGAATAGAAAAAATAAAAACTGGTTTGTGTACACAATTTTATTGCATCTCATACAATGCAGCTAACACAGTTACAATGATACAATCTAATAAATCCATTAGCCTGTGATAAATATTTTGTTATATGTTTAAAGATAAAATTATAAGGTCAAGTAGTATGCCTACAAATAATTGTTCTTCATAATTTTTAATTTTTTTCATCTCCTAAAAGAAACAAAACAATTCATTGTACATCGAAATCAGATATAATAACATAAAAAATGGTCAGAAAATGGAAGGCACTTTTTTTTTGTCAAATTTTTTGAACACAGGTAGTAGATGAAGCCGAAACTAAGGGATAGGGTTAGGTACTAGGACAGTTACACCTCATTTGTAGGCACTATTTATGATCCTATAACATTTTGACAAATCGACAAGGTCAGTACCGGAATAGAGTAGATAAAACCATACTTGGATAAGCTTCAGATAGTTAAAACTAATTATTAATTATTTAAGGAGGTCTCTTTTCATGACAACAACTTATGCCTCCATAATGGACAAGGCTAATTATAATACAATTTATGACCTCTTATCTCAGTATCTGATGCAAAGACAATATTTACGAAAATATTGTTCTAAATAGTATGAAATCTGACTAGACTAACTAACTAACAGGATGACAATCATAATCTACTCTTAAACTAGTCTCAAATTTTGGTCTGCAATTTTGTTTTTATTTTTTTTTTGGCCAAAAAGTTTTATGCGCCTAAATTATGTGCCATCAGACTTCACGTTATTACAAATTATGAAAACAAAATAATTAATACGAGATTTTTCTCTAAGGAATACACATCCTCGGATAGTCGTATAAAATTAAAGGAACTGAAACAAAACATTGTCCGTACCATCTTAAATTATACATAATTAAGAAATAAATAAAAATATAAATGAAATTCTATTCAGCTTTATATCAATGCAAATATAGTAAAAAGAAAGAAAATGTACAAACAAAACTGAATGGACAGTAACAAATAAATCATTACATTTCGGGAATGTATTAAAACTATAACTTAATTGAAAAAAGCCAGTAATATTATACACAATCAAATAGAAACAGGTAGTTTCATTACTAACTTCAAATATATCACTTATCATGCATTTTATTTTTACATATCTTATGTTATAAAATTTCATTTTTTTTTTTACATTTTTTAATTTTTATTTTATTTTGATAGTCAGATAGACGGTTATGTTACATAAATATACTCATTAAGTATATTTAGATATTTGATAATTATGCAACAATATGATAGCGTTTTGAGATTCCTTTAGGAAGCATTATAATTTTGTTTCTATACTTCTTAGATATATATTGTTAACATAATATTACATAAGCTTTTCACAATGACATATTTATCTATACATATTTATTTATATATTTACAAATGGGACAATTTAAACAATATATAGTTTTCCTAATTACAATCTAAATGATCTAAATATCGGGCATATGAAGTGATATCGAGGAAGGCAATCGCAGTCTAACCATAATGTTTACAATTTTTTTTTATAAACTTTAGATTTGGCTGAATTGTCTGGTTTTTCACAAAGTTACTATCTAAAATAATTGATTTAAACATAAAATTAACAAGTTGACTGCCAAGTCTATCGTTTTAGAGAATTCTGTATATGTATTTTAAATTGATTACATAGAATTAAATAAACATATATTACTTTAAATTATTATTATGATTTACTATCAATTTAAATTATGATTTTAATTGGAAATAAATTATGGCCAAAAATTACAAATGTCATGTGATTTATGGATTGAACAGTTTTTCAAAACATATCATACTTAAATATAGATCTTTAACCATTGTAGGTTATTAGAAGATCTAATGATAATTATACTTATTATCTTGTAAACTCTCATTTTATTTTATTTTTTAATGATGTGGTATGAAATAATTCTTTTTCGTTACTAATGACTCTTACTGGATAAAGAAAATTTATGCAAGTACTAATGATATTGCTCATGTTGGGCATTTATCAGCAACTATAAACTATCCCTAGGTTGGCAGCCAACCTGTTAAAACCTCTAATTTAATCAACATGAATATTTTTATATCATTTTGACTATTTGTTCTGAACAATTATCTCTGAATGTTGAGACTATAGCATATTATGGTTATCATAACAAATTATTGTTTGTGAAAGTGGAGACCTACTAGACTATTTTAATGCAAAGTGAACTACTTTATTATAGCTTGTATATTGTAATAACTGTAATAAACAGAAAATTTAATTAATACAGATGTGAAAACTGCACTAAGAATTCTGATAAACAATTTCAGTTTAGTTATAAGTCGGAGGCCAGTAGATATATGAATAATCCTGAGAATATTAAAAACAATGAACATTCACAGATCTATTATAAGATTTTCTAATTCAGTTGGCATATAATAAATATACTGTGTATATGTATGTACTAGATTTATTATACGGATCAATCTATAAAATAGCCTACTATAATCTGCATATTTACACAATCTTATACGTTTAAATAAATTATAAACAGGGTATAAATGATGATATTTGGTATTAAGGAAAGTTTGTCTTTAAATTTAAATAAATACTTACATACTATTTTTAATTTATTTTTTCAAATAGACAAAAATCAGATTAGTTGAATTTTTTTTGTGTTTTTAATTTTTAGTTCATCAATATTTATCCTTTATTCCTAGTTAAGAGGATTTTAAATATATATAATTACATTTTACAATAACTCCTAACATTAAAGGAAGTTTTTAAAATTTAAATCAAAATATATAAATATATATTTCTAAACATAAATCTTTTTAAAAATTTATGGTCCTGAAAACTTTCATAAATAAATAAATAAGATTATCTTTCAGTTTTCAAAATTTTAGAAGAACATCGACTTTAATATTTTTATTCTTTTTTTTTAAGGCATCAGCAAAGAGGATAACAAAATGTCATTATATAACAAAGTATACTACTACCATGTGATGATTGGCTTATATTACTAACTATAATATGACATACAGTAAATTTAATAGTTACCCAAATATAACGCTGCACAACCCCGTTGTCTATGACAACTTATCACGTGTGCAATAATATTTATATACCAATATATTCACATATTCACAAAAACATATACAATTTTTGGATCAACATTTTTTATACCAAATCATGAAAAACCCCCATTATCATCATGATAACATTTAAATAACTTTTTAAACAATAAATACTCGACTACGAGCCTATCCTTGTACTTTAGTACAGAAACTTAAAAAATAGTCAATATAATATAAGTCTTACATTTTAACACGACACTTTTTCTTCTTTTTTTTCTCTATTTTTACAATGTTTTTTTCAATACAAAAAGTAAATAAATAGACATTATAAAGGGATCTTATCTCAACAGTATACAAGCGTGGATGCTGATGGACAAGCCTTAGTCAGTGCGCTGGTCGACAGACATGTGAATAGGCTCCTTCTGCATAGGTTGGCCGGCCTGAGGAGGGCTCTTCACCAAGTTTTCGAACTCGTCTTGGAGGAGAGAGTCCGGTCGGGGTGGACCATATCCTTCACAGCTGCCCTTGTATGGCATTCCACTAACACCAATACCAACCTGGAAAAGAAAAATAGAACAATTATGATCCTGTATAGTTATAATTATTTTCTGCATAAATAAATCAACAAGTTACATTCTTATAATCATTGAGTATTAATAAAGCTGTGAGTGGGAAAATAATATACAGTGATTTATTTCCTTGAGCTATTTTATAATCTGTTGAAGTATTAAATATTTTATTTTAATTTGTAAGATTTAAGATCCTCTACGCTGAAAGGCATCAAAGAGGAAGGAAGAGAAGAAGATTTAAGTTTAAAAAATTTCATAGACCAAAAAATCCATGAGAAGCAATATTAAAATTATAATTTAAAATAAAACTGTTTTATTTAGGATGTTTGAATCTGAACGCATAATAGTTTTATCTTTTGTAAATTTAGGCAAGGATTTCAAATTTTGTTACACTCTTTCACTCAGAATTCCTTAAGATCAAGAATATACATTAAATAAAAACAAAAGTCTAACATCTGAACCAATATGCATTTTAAAATAATTTTATTTTTTTAAAGAAAAATAAATTTTATGATTACCTTGACCTTTGGTGGTTCGGGCTGCTGAGGGCGTTTCATCAGATCCATATCATCTTGGAACAGGTGATCAGCTCTGGCGGAGAGATCATTGGGCATTGGCTTGTATACCATAGGTTGAGGCTAGAAAATTTCATATTTATTAATTTAAATGTCATCATTAAGTCATATCCAGACACCTGATTTTTTTTTTTTTTCAATTGCATATTTAGTAAACCTGCTAATTTTAAGCAGATGACAGAATATACATATTTGCAGAATAACCCTGCTATAACTTTTAGCAATCATAACTTTTTTTCTGTTTTCATATTTTGGGACAACTGAATGTCTAATTTTTTTATAGAGTTATTGGAAGGAAAAAATAATAATTCCTAAAGATAAAAAATGTTTACTATTATAACAAATAGTAGAAAGTAACAAAAATGTAATAGTGCAATAATTTTTTACAAAAGGGTTTAATTTATAAACATATTTAAAATATTCGTTAACAGGATGAAGTTCAATAATTGATTTTAAAGGATAACAGTACCACACTGACAATTTAAGCACCTTAACTGAAATTTTGATTTCAATTTATATCATAAATAGATTTCTTTTAACTAACCTTAACTTTTGGGCCTTCATTTGATTGGGGCCTTTTAACTAAATCTTCAATTTCATCTTGGAATAAATGCTCGTTTGACCTGGGCGTCATGTTATCATTCACCATTGGTTTGTAACCCATGCCCATTGCCATCTGTCAACAAAAGAGAAATAAATTGTAACTACGATATAGTAAATCTTAATAATATTTAACACTAAAATATATTTTGTAGCATCAAGTAATTTTCAGTTGTTTGTACAATTAAATATTACAATTAAAGATTCATATTTATGTTCATACCTCCATATTATTGTTGGGTTGAGTAAGAGGTGACGACCTTGGGGAAGAGTCAACTGGACTTGGAGAGTGAAGCATGAGGGAAGCGGCTCCATTGCCACAATGTGCTGCAGCAGCAGCTGCTAGGAATCCTCCATATTGGTGAGGATGTTGCTCATGATGGTGTGCAGCGGCCAACATTTGCTGCCGCAAGTTCTGAGCAACGGCGACGACCGCTGCTGCCGCAGAGTTAGGTGACACTGAGTCTGTCACTGAGCCTGGGCCACTACTGCCTCCGCCACCACTTCCTCCACCACTACCGTAGCTGTGAACACTCTCAGGAGTGCAGAGCTGAGATTTCTAAATAAAAAAATTAATAAATCAATTTTTAAAAAATACCTTTTCAAGATGGTTTAAAAATATGTAATGAAAAATTATATTAATTTACATAAACTAATCATATCAATTTACTGTTTTAAACTTTAATAAATAATACTGCTAAAAATTATTCAACCAATTAAATTTCCACCAATAAAAACATATAGCGAAAGATAGTTTCATCAGACTTATTAACAATGAAGGGAAATTATTGTACACAAAATATTCTTACAGGCATGCGATGAGGGTATCCAAGATTAAGAGTTTCTTCTTTCATGTGCTGAGGGTCTCTGAAGACAACAGCCCTGATAACCCCTCTGATATGGTCTTCAGGCCAAATTCCCAACAGTATTCGTTGAGGTCTTCCACGCCCTTTTGGCCTCAAATCTATAATTTATTTAGAACAAAATAATTAGATAAATCATTATATGCCATAAATTGGACTCAAAGTAAAACTTAAATTTAATAAATTGCATGCAGCCGAGTTAAAGCCCACTATTGGCGATCACAGTTTGCACAGTTGATTAAATGATAATGGAGAAAGAAGGAAACTTCTCTGTATATCGACACCTCATCATTATATACACATTTTTCCCACCTAAAACCGTTCACAAGCAAACCTGATGTTCCCCGGATGGAAGCATTAGGAACCAGATCGATCATATTCTGATATCCAACCGGTATTGCAACAGTGTTAACGATGTTCAGTTATATAGAGGAATTGGTATAAACTATGATCACAACATGTTTGTTATGAAATTAAAGCAGTGCATTAGAACAGAGATAAAACGATGGGGTGGAAGAGAAAAAGTACAAGGCATGGAACATTGATTTACTCGGAGATGAGAAGACATGTACACAATACCAGCAAAAGGTAAATGAACTTGTACAAAGTATCCCCTTTGTAGTATACCTTTAAGAACGTGAATAGCAACCAAAATACAGTGGTCAAGGATCATAAGGAAGAGGTATTGGTCACAGAAGAAGTGCGAAATCAATGAAAAAATCATTTTCAGAAGCTTTTAAATTGTGAACAGACTGAGGAGGTAGAACTGGTTAATGCAGTAATGGGGATAAATGAAAGTGAAGAAAATGTACTGCCTGATAAAGATAATGTTATGGAGATAATAGTGGGAACAAAAATTTATAAGGCACCAGGAACAGATGATCTTCCAGCAGAACTTTTCAAAGGAGCAAACTAGGATCGTTGTGGTATTCCAAGAATTGATAGCGAGAATTTGGAAAGAAGTGATCGATAGTGATTGGTCAGAAGGCCAAATAATGCCAATATACAAAAGAATACAGGACATCATGCAATGTTAGAATTACAGAGGAATCACATTACTCACCATTGCATGTAAGATCTTTTCTGTTGCTTTGTATAAGAGAATAGTCCCATAAGCAGAGACAGTACTCGGAGACTACCAAGGAGGATTCCAACACAACAGATCCAGGATAGACCAATTTTTTTCTATTAGAAGGATCTCTGAGAAGAAGAGAGAATTTGGAAGGTCTATAAGGATGCAGTTTGTGGATTTGGAAGCAGAATATGACACTGTCAATAGAAATGCCTTGATTATGGCTATGGGAGAACTGGGAATACCAGACAAGCTCATCAGGCTGCCCAGATGTACCATAGTTCGGAATGAATGCCGGGTTAAAACCCCAACTGGTGCTTTAGATTCACTTGAAGTGAAGAATGGATTGAGGCGAGGAGACCCATTAGCTCCCCTTTTATTAAATATTGTTCTCCAAGGTATTGTGATGCAAGCTGAGCTAGACACCGGAAGAACCATCCACACCAAGATGACCCAGATACTGGCATATGCAGATGATGTGGTGGCATTGGAAGGTCCCTGGCTAGTGTAAGAGGTGAATTTATTAAGCTTGATGCAGAAGCACAGCGTTTGGAAGTATACCAGCTTTATCAGGAACTAGCAGTTTCCATGTTTGTAAAAATTCAGCAGTTAATGAAAAAAAAAAAAAGATGTTTTGTAAATTTTGGCTTATTTGTTAAATAAAATTTTAAGAAAAGGAACAAATTAATCTTTCTTTCATTAGCAAAGTATCATTTATTTATCAAAAATGATCTATTTAATAAGTGTACTTTACACTCAAGAGATGCTTGAGGATATTAAAACAATTTAATATGAAGTAGGTCTCGAAGCATAAAAAATAAAAGTATTGAACTAAAGAAATGTTTAAAGAACTCTTGAATATTATTTAATAAATGATATTTAATAAATAATCACTGCTAAACTAACAGGATTAGAGAATATTGTTGTTTCTATTATTATGTGAAATTTAAATTTTGACTATTATGTTTATAATAAGCTCTAAACAGTTACTTATATTTTAGAATAGAATATTGCATAATAGTATAAATTTTGTCATCCTACAGAGAAAAATGAACCAAGATATCTTTTTATGATAAAATTTTTTTTGGTTTATTGTTAATTTAATTAGGTTAATAAGAATAATTGTATTAAGACAAATCTCAAAAAATAAAGAAGTAAAATTAAAGATGGAACATATAAAATAGTTTCTGTCAAAATAGTTATAGTTTCAAGAAAAATACTGAAACTATTAATTCATGTTGACCTTTTCATATTCACGAACGGTTCATCTCGACATGAACTGTATACGGGGTAATATGTAGGGGAAGACAATGGTATAGAATGGGCTGGAGAAAGCAGACAAGGATTTTATGCAAATGACAGAAATGTCATCAAGAAGCCATTGTCTTATAGAGCTATTGTGTTAGATACCTCTTACCCCTCCCCACTCCCTCCCGCACAACTAGCATCTATCCTTTAGCTCTTACAATATGTTCTGTGTGTGTCACATCTTGTTAAATTTATTCATATGTAAGCAATTCAATTTCAACATCACATAAAGAGACAACTACAACAACATATATCTTGATATAACATTATAAATAATTGCATCCAGTTAAATAATCAAATGGACTTTTTAACAATAAGACTACATACTTAAAGTGATGAATTTTAATCGAGTGCCAAAATGTTTTTTTTTTAAGTAATGTGGTTCCATTATGTGAAATATCAAGTTTTTGGGATTCTATTAATTAATGAAAATATACAATTTCACTTCTAAACCATTATTTTGTTCAACAAATATTTAAATTATCTCAACCTAAAGGTTGCAATCTGAAAGAGAATAAATTTCCATATTGCATTTTTATACGACCAGTTCTATACTATTTCAGCCTTTTTTGAAAATATTCTGAGAACTTGTAAAGAAATATTCGACCATTAATATACTGGTGGGGACTGAAGAACCTTGTGGGTTTGAAACGGGTAATAAGAAAATGTAAATCATAAATTGTACAGAATAATTTAGCCTTTCTAGCATTTAAAAATTAAAGCTTCACCTCAATAATTGATCAAAATTTAAATGATTTTGAATTATTATATTCAATATTATTCTATTGATGTCACCCTCAAAACTGACATTCCACATGATAAAGCCAGAAAAATAAAAATGAAAACATTGAGTGCTTTGTATTAATTTTTAAAGTATCTAAAAAGGATTTCAAATATTGTGATTTTTGCATGCAACATATTAATTTAAAGTATTCGCATACATAAGCTTGCAAACACACATAAAGCTACTAAGAATTTGTCAAATATACAAAATTTAATAGTAATAATTTTTTTTTTAAATTTTTAAGTTTGCTTTATTGGTTAGAGCCATCAGAAATTTTTTTAATTAATATGAGTTTCACAAGCAAATACAGAAATCTCAATTTTATTGTGTGAAAAGCGAAATCTCAAATTTAGGAATTAAAAAAAACTATTCCATTTTCTTTTTTATTATTGACAGATTCTTTAGGTGATTAGGTTACTACAATAAAACTACACGAACCAGAACCTCCATCAGCTGACGGTCCAAGCATGTTGTGCACCCTGTTTGCATACAGGACGAACGTAGGATATGGTATATCATACTTCCTTGCAGCCTGCGATAGGGACAGACCTTCCTTCAAGACAGATAAAATGGCCTCGGCCATAGTTTCAGGTCTCCATGACTTCAATGGTCCTCTCTCACGAAACCTCAGATTATGAACTAAACTCTGATTTGTATTCCAGCACTTTTGCCACATTGATTGCAACTGGTACTGGTAGCTGTCTGCTGAAAAAATAAACATTGCAAGATATATATCATTAAACAAGCAATTCATCATCTTACCCTACAAAGTTATGTTAAAATATATTTTCATTAAATTTATATATTATACAATGTTAAAGGACAAAGTAATAAAAACAAAACAAAAAAAAACATTTGAATTTAGCGCGCAGTTTATTTGAGCAGGTTATTTAAACATTGATAATTCTCATTATATTCTTAACTTCATTCACAGATATAATTTTTCACTAATCTGTTAAAAAATTGCATCATAAAATGTGATGATTAACTCGACTAAGCACATAATAACTATTTCTGAACTTTAATAAAAATATTTAAATTGGGTATTTAAAATATCTGTCATATGTCTTATAAATATACAAATATTTATTCTTCTTTTTTTTAATATTAAAAATATAATATGTATGGTAAAAATAATAATAAATTAAATAATTTTTTTTCAGAAAATAAATTCGACAAAATAAATTAATAAAAAAAATGAAATAAATTACAGATTTTATCAGATTAAAGAGGGATCGAGAGATTACGTAGATAATGTTCGAAACATTTATAATATTATATATTATTAAATATCATATGTTTTAAATATATAAAAATAAAACATAAGTATATAATCAAAAATAGATTATTTCTCACCCGCCAAGGAAGATGTAGAAGCTCCCAGCCAAGCATGAGATGATTCGAGCATTTTTGCCTGAAAAAGAAAATTTTAATTAGTTTTTCCAAGTGACAGATTTAATACTAAATTGAACTAAAAATGTTTCCTTGAATTAAAGTTTAAAATTCAATTACTTGAAAAAATATTTGATTTTATTTTTTCATAAAAGGAAATTTTATTTTAATTTTGAATCAATTGTCCAAATATCTTAAAGGATAAGTCACTTCATATGTAACTGAATCTCTGAGTTTTGAATATTTCTAGATAAATATGTATATTAGAATATTTTGATTAAAAATCTAAATCAAAACATTGCCTTTAAAATATGAATAATTAATTTATTTCTATTAAAGTAAATTTCAAATTAAGGATAAATTTTGAGAGAGAGAAACGAAACAAGCATATATGGCAAGAAAAACCTGAAACACAATAATTAATTTTAATACATTGGTTTTGTTCATTCTCAAAACATCTTCAATAAATTAAACTCTATTTACACAAATTAAACTACACTAAAATTAATTTACAAGTGTTTTTATTATTATAATGGTTTTGAGTTCCTAAGCATAGTGGCTAGCACTATTAATTTTTTTCATTCATTACAAATACTGAATATAAAAATATTAATGACAAAGAAAGATTTCTTTAACTTTTACTACTAATAATTTACATTGCTTCCTATTGTTGATGAAAATAACTGCTGAATCAACCCGTTGTGACTTCAATGTGTTCAAACTTGTAGGCCAAGGTTTGGAAGGAGGTTTTGACAAATAGCAAATCGACGTCCTATTTTGAATGTCAAAACAGTACCATATCATGCTTCATATGGATGCAGCATAATTTTGCTTTGACATCATAGCATGGTTTCCCTCATACAGGAATTAGCTATTGCTGACAAAATTCAAAACTGTTTGTGTATAATTCAAACTGCTGATGACCTAAGCAAATGTTCAGGTCTTAAAATTCAAAATTCTATAAACATTAGTAGTGTATAATGTTTTTCTGAGATGAAAAAACATTGTAAAGATAAAAATGATATCAAGTATATATAATCATTGTTTATTGATAGGTAACTGATGGTAGTCTTTGTCTGGCAGTTATTATTATGGCTAAAAAGGAATCAAGGTGAATCTAAATTAAAATTGGTATATGTAACAATAAAAAAGAATATCTATTTTGTAATTTATTAACTAACAATTAATATTTGTAATTTGTATTTATTTGCTGAATTAAATAAATTGAAAATGGAAGTTCAGATCATCTACCAGTTGTTAAACTTTCTGCAGGAATCATATTTTAATTAAACCTGCAGAAATCAAACGCCAATGAATAACTACTAAAATTTAAAAATTACTGAACAACGATGAAATAAAAAATAAATAATAAATTTTTCATGGATATATAATTTTATATAAACCATATATCTGGTTGATAAATAAAAAAATGTAATTTTTAGGGATAGCAGCAATCAGGGATGCCTATCCTCCCCAAGGCCGCCGGCTCATAAACCTTCCCCCATCCCTCCTAACATATTTTATTCCTCTCTTCTTCTTAAAAATGATACAAACAAAAGTAGAATTTAAACATTTGTAGATTATATACCATTACACATACTGTGGACTCTTACATGATTCCAGTTGTCTTTTGATTTGAAAATTTTCATTTTGAAAATTTATAATCCCGTCGAAATGTATCCCCTACAAAAATTGAAAGCCTCATCAAAAAGTGCCCTCCTCATTTATTTTGATGGCACAAGTTGTGCCATAAAACCACTTTCTGGACACCCCTGGTGGCAATAAAATATCAATTGATGTAATATAATTTTATTAATTAATTAAACTACACTCTTTGGTTTCTAAACAAGTTTTTCAATCCTCACTTTACAAAACCATACTTTCCTATGAAACTTTGTAATCTTGGTTTAGTAATCCATTTCTCAATATATTTTACTGTACATAACATCACAAACATGACTCACAAATTTTTTTTCTAAAATTTTGTAGGGATGGTTAAGCAAAATTTTATTGTATTTTTCCATGTACAATAAAAGAAATATCTAACTTTGGTGTTGACGGTTTTGTTTTTTTCTTAAATCAATTTTGGTCATAATTCTTGTGTTTAACTGATGTTTAATTACATCTCCTACCAAAAGCCCTTTTACAATTAAATGGGAGTCTTAGAGAACACACATGCTGCAGTAGATTAAAAAATTTCGATTTTAACATTTTTATTATCACTTATATTTCTTCCTTTTTTTGTTATTGGACTTGAAAGATGCTTTTATAATACCGGGAAGCGAAATACACTCAGTTCTTTCTTCATTAAAAACAATGTCATATAATTTTTTTTTTCTTATAATTTTAAGACATAGTTGTTATGGACCTAACCATAGTTGACAGGTACACGTAAATCGATAGTTATGAAGACGTCACATATGGGTTGCCTTTCATTGTTATTCATTCATTTTATAGATAGTCATATATTATTTCCAAAGTCTTATTTTTTCAGAGTTGAAATATTTTTCTATGAAATATAATACAATTAGAGAGGAAATTCGGTGCAATTAAAAAATAATATACATTATTTACACAAAAAACATAATAGTGAGTATCTAAATAAATTTAAAAGTGGGCAAAAAACAAATAATTAAAAAAAAAGAAGAGAATATAGTAAGCAGTGTAGAAACAGCCGTGAGACGTGACAGTGTAGCCAACTGCTAAAAAATGAATAGGCAGGGTGAATGATGAAAGGGAGTAAGGACAGAGTAGGGACGACACTGTGTATCGCCCTTGTAGGGATAATTTAGTGAAGAGTTTCTCCTAATTATTCAAGCCTTAGCTCCGCCATTACTAGAAACTTCTCCCACACTCCCTCTCTCCGGCTAATAGTCACTTATTATTATTTATACCGTAACCGGGCGTGAGTGCAGGGTCACACCGATGGCCGGCGGTATATCTGGATCGCAAGAGGTTGAGGGCGCTCTCAGACAAAGGGAAACTTGGCTAGGTGTGGTCAGCATGGACTTCAGATCCAATTGTAAAAGAGCGAATTATCAGAAAGGATGGGTTTTCGAAGAGATTTATGGACTAGGTTCTGGAGTTTTAAATTGTGGTGTTAAATATTTATATTGTTTTTTTTTTTCTAAAATGAAAACGAAAGAAACGTTTCGACATTTGATGCTTGATATTTCAAATGAGGAAGTAAAACTACCGGATAAAAAGTATAATAAGAAAAGATTACAATCATCTAAATAAAATATATATATATATATATATATATATATATATATATATATATATATATATATATATATATATATATATATTGGAAAGGAGTTCGTTCTGGTTTTAACTCAAAATACAATGTAAAAATGAATAAATTATATTCATTTTTATTTTTACCGACGTTTCAGCCCAAAGTTCAGACATTCATCAAGGGCGAGCTCCTCTTCCCTGGAAGGTTAGAAAAAAATTTATCTTGAAAAAAATATCTGAACAGCCGGCACTTTTATTATTGTAATTTTAATTGAAAAATAAATTGTATTGAATAAATAAGTTTTAAATTATGTACTCAGAAATAACGAATCATTAAAAAAAAAATCGAATATTTACAATAACACTCTTCATTTATTTGGGAAATAGCTGAAAGTACTTGCTAGGGTACTCTGATCCCTTGGAAACTATTTTAATTGAATTTAACAAAAAAAAATGTCGAGTTTTATGCTGTCAAGGAATTTCGACCGCCATTCCATGGAAAAATATTGAATGACGTAAAAAAACTAAAATACAACAAATTTATATATATATATATATATATATATATATATATATATATATATATATATATATATATATGTATATATATAGTTTGAATAATCGGAAACTTGTGAAAAATTTATTTTAATAAATTGGTATACTATTTTTTTCCAACTGAAGCTGAATTTTCCGATTACGTCTTTACCGTTCGAATAGTTTCTAAAATGAGGTTTAAGCAAGGAAGGTGAAAAATCACATTTTTAATCTAGGATGAAGGGAAGTTAAAAGACAAGTAGTTTTTAAAATTACTTTTTTTTTTGTTTGAGAAGCGGAGCTCCAAAAAGCTGGATTATCTTTATTTCTAATATGACGTACCTATCAGTGTAAGGTTAAATGAGTGAAAATAGTATCTCAAAGTCTCAGTCTTCTTAAAAGAAAAATTTGAAGATAAAATCCTCTAGATTTATTAAATTACAAGAACAACAATATCACAAATTTTAGTAAAAAAGAAGGGGGAAAAATAAAGAATTGTATACATCCTATCACGGTCATTAATGTTCGCCAATACCCAAGCAATGTCCATGACTTAACAACCGCCTTTTATTTATGGTCGCAATCAAATTTCTCTCTTTATATATTCCATTCCGCCTACACTAAGGCATAAATTTCACTGCCCTCTCCTTCATTTTCAATACACATTTAATGATGCCGAGTTTAGAAGAGTTGTCAACATTGTGACGGGATTCCACGAGTAAGAACTCCGTAAGGCATTCAGTCTTATGAATATTTATTCAAAATATTCTCATGGAATATGCATCACTAAGATATTTTATTGATAAGAAAACTAGAAGAAAAAGCAATATAAATGCATCCATTTATTGTTATAAGTGTGAAAGAATTATTTATGAAAAAAAAAAATTGGCACAGAAAAAACAAAATTAAAAAAATACATAATTTATTTCTATCCAGTTAAATATATACATTGCAGACGGGTCAAATTTATTGTTAGGTATAGAAGAGAGGTTGGTTGACAGCCAAAATTTAGATATGTGTTTCTGTATAAATGTGAAAGATATGACTTTACAGAGGAGACGAAAAATACCTGTTGTCTTAAATGATTTACGAGCCTGGTTTGGACCGTTCTTTGTCAAGATTTCTTTTCTGACTTTATTATTAATATTTTCTACATCTTGTTAACCAATTCTGGGTAATCAGTATAGTCGTAGCCTTTCATCTAGTAAGGTCATGGCCAAATACTATTTGCTAGGAATAAACTCCAACTTTTAGAAATTTCTGGATTAT